TACCTATTCCTACCACGATCGGTCAAATGACCGATCTTAAAATGTAATATTTCTTCATTTAGAATGAAGATAATAGCCAATAGTCTAGTACGTGTCCAGGCCAGATTAACCCTTCGCCTACAATATCGTATGAAATTCGTGGTATGGAAATCGGACCAAACATGTAAAAGCCGTGATAAGTCGTTCCGGCTAAACGTAAACACTTGCCAGTATCATAATTGGGTCCAACGTGAACAGCACAGTTCCGACTCGGATTTTCCCGATGTCTTTTTGTCTTAGCCGGGTCAGACTCATTGTTAATTTTCCAATTTTACAGAAGTTAGGTGCAAATAAAAAAGAATTAGACATTATTAATATAATAATTGATATGTTCTGGGAAAATATTGTAACGGAGATGAATCGGTACGCAGAACAAATAATAAACAATAAAAATAAAAGACGAAAAACCGACGAAACTTGGTTTTCTGTAGATTGTAAAGAAATAAAAATTTATTTTACATTATGTATAACAATGGTTCAGAAAAAAGAGCTAGCAATTCAAATGAATTGATTTAAGAGGGCCATTACAAAAACACCAATATTTAGAGAAACGATGTCATTTAAAAGATTTTTCAAATTGTTTAAAATTTTTTTTAAATTATATACTTATATATTTTTTAAAATTATAACACAAACAGTTTTTTTATATTTTAACTGTGGCAAATAATATCTTTAATCTCTTTTCTTTGTGTCTTGCACTGCAAGCTATTCAATAATTATATGTAACAAAGGATTCTAGTTTCTACTTTTTAATGTCTTATTTGCTTTGTAATATCTTTTATGCTCATAATCAGTTAACTGCACATTCAGAAAATACTCAAAATTTATTATTAATAAATAATTCTTTTCGTTGGTAAAATTTATTATATATTAGCAAAAGATTGTGATCCTTATCTTCTGTGTAACTAACATTTTATTTGCTGATAGTTTTGATAATAATAACATTAATTACTTTTAATTTGATAGCCTCATTTAGTCCAATTGAATGAGTTACTATAACAGTGTGAAAGATTATGAAAGCTACAAATATATCATACAACTTGCACAATACGTTTTAATATAAATTTTTTTTGAATATACAACTAATATATTGAATTTTAGCATTAGTTCAAATATTTTGGATGTTACATTTAAAAACAACTATTTTTACGAGAAATGATATTAGAAGTCGTATTCAACGAGCAACTAATTTTTTAGAATATATAAATACGAAATTTGCCGAACATTTCATAACTGAAGAAAATATTTGCGTTGATGAATTCGTAGTAAAATTTAAGTAGAAAATAAGTTTTATTTTTACATATAATCCCAATAAACCTACCAAGTGGAGCATTCGAATATACGTTTTAGCAGATTCAGATATGTATATAGCATTCTTCCATATTACGGAAGTATCACTTCCGAAAATCTTTCGAGGCCAGATTAACATTAGAATTGTCCTGCATCTGTATCAACAGTTATTAGATAAAGTACCTACCGAAAAGGATATCACATTCACATCCACAGTTATTATACTAGTGTATGCTTAGCTGAAAAATTAAAAAGAATGAAGTGTCACTTAACCGGTACCGTAAGAACAAATAAAAAAGGTGTCCCGACAATTCTGAAGAAACCAAAATTTCATAAGAGCAGGATTAAGAGAATAGTATCATTATTGAGCAATTTGCATAATGCTGGAATAATAACCACTAAAAGATGTATATAGGAGACATAGAAGAAGTAATCGAAAAGTCAAGTGTAGTTATCAGTTACACAAAAGTCGATGAGTGGTGTTGATCAAGCTGATCAAAATGCATTCAGTTATTACTTTTTGAGGTGGTGGCGCAAACCGTTTTTCTGCTGAATGGGACCATGAAAGTATAAATCCTCAATAAATATGTACAATACAACAAAAATGAGAAAGAACTGACCCGTTTACAATATCGGAAAATTTTATAGCTCATATATATAGCTCATAGGAAATTTATATAATAAATATCTTTTGTTTATTGTAATTATATAAATATCCTATTATAAGTTGATATTTATATAATAAGTAATATCAAATACATTCACAAGCACGTGTAATCTTTATTTATATACAAGGAAATTATTATATATTTATATAATAAGTACAAAACTCTGAGAGAAATTTCTAAAATTGGTAGGTAGACCACCATAGTTCACGATTCCAAGAATCATTGATAGATATGGATAATCCACGAAACAAATGTAAAATCAAAATAAATTAGTACACTAACCGATGCATAATTCGAAAAATAAAACAAAATCCAAAGATAAGTGCAATAAACATCGCTGGTGAACTTACAAATAATCTTAACCCTTTCGCGAGGGGTAACGTCTATATACGGCAATCACTTGGTGCATCACAGCAGCTGACGTCGTCTACATACGATAGTCACTTTTCGGCTGACGGAGGCTGACACCGCATATACGCGGCAATCATTTATTAGTTTACAGCTGCTGACGCCCTCTAGATACGGCAGTCAGTTGTTGGTTTATAGAGTGTTATGCCCGATGCCACTCTTACACTTAGCAAAAGACGCATAATTTTTATTTCCTCGTGTCCACCATATAAGGAGTCATCATATCAATGTTATACGCATTAGATATAAAATGGGGATACACCTTTACATACATTACAATCTCTTTATTATTCTAAAGGACAATACAAGTTTTAAGAAACTTATTTCCATCAATCACTAACACCATTATATGACATATTTGAGCCCGACGTAAGGGGAGTCGTAAATAAAACAAATTAATTCTCTTATAAAACAGACGATAGTAAGTAAAAGAGATACCTTAGCGCTTAAGCACTCGTAGTCTTATAACTAAACTATTATAAAGATATAATACTAATACAATGGGAAGGACAGAAAGAGAAAGTGAAAAGGCAGTGAGACACAGATGTATTTCAGATGTAGAAAAGCAGCGTGTCACAAATGTGTTCCTCAGAGGGAAAGAGAAAGAGGAAAAGAGCGAGAATCAGCAGACTCAGGATAGAATGCTCCGAACGGCTGGAAATTCTCTTTCCACCATACACAGATGCTGCGCTCCCCACCATGCTCACGAAGGCACTATCCCCACCATGGTTCACGACGGTGGCAGTCCCACCATTCTCGGCAGCGTCGGCATCCCGAGCCGCCTACCGCAGTTCAATAGAGTATATAAGCCGTGTAGAATGGTCATTCTGCCTTTCACTTCTCGGAGGTTACTTCTTTGTCAAAACCTCGAAGTTATACTTTCGTCAGAGGTGCGTACAAATCGCACGAGCAGAAGACAACTTCCTACAATCCTCCTTACTATTCAGCCTGAAAACCTCCAAGTTATACTTTCTACATACTCACGTATGCCGAGAACGAGTCGTGTCGATAGGAATTATCTTTTGTACCGTCTTCTCGCGAAGTTATATGATATCCATATGTACTTTACCGATGTCATCGGGATCTATGGCAGCAAGGAAGCGAGCAAGGAGAACGAAGGGCCTTACCGTCTCATCTCGATTACGTTCAACAGGAAGCCTGTATCAATAGTTCATTTACCACCTCATGACCCGCGAACACCCAGGAATTTGAGGATCGAAGCGGAATTTACGGCGATCACGAAACAAGGTAAGTGCATCCATTTTTTTCGCAAGTGTCGTGTCTCGAGTCATTCTGTGTGTGTTTGTATACCAATCTCGAGCCACATAGCAGGTAAGGGCCAAAAAGATACTAATCTCGCGGTATGTAGGGACTCCTCGAAAAATTTGTTTGTAATATTTTTTTTTGAGGCCCGTAACGAGCGGGTCGTAACAATCGCTCTCGAAATTTACAAATTGGGATTTTAGGAAATATCAGTTTTGTACCGTTATCAACTTCACACACGTAAATATTATCTTTCAGTTAGAAGTCATTTTAATAAAATTTGTTGCGATCACTTAATACAATCGTATTTTGTAAAATATTTCTTTACCATCAACATTTAATTCTCTAAATATTCAAAACCATCTGAGTGTTCAGAACCATTGTTGTTGAATCATCTATAACATTCTGTAGCTCTATATTAAGAACAAATTTTCTCACGAGTTTGCGATAGATTTTTGCCTTTTCGGTAATAAACAAGAAAATCTGACAAAAATGTTCTTTATTTTCTGAGATTTTCTGACAAAATCTAACAATATTTCACAAAAAATACTATGACTAATTGATCTCAGCAAAATCTTATTAAAATAATACCAGAAATGTCGCTTTTATAAAATGAAAAATAATATTTATATACGTAAAGTTAATAATGGTTTTAAAAGTTATTTTCCGTCCACATGTGGAGAAAACGGAATGTGTATATATATATATATATATATATATATATATATATATATATATATTATAAAGAAAATTTTCTAAGGTTGCGCCAACCCTTATTTTTTTAGACAAAAATCTGTTGATCAACCAATGAAGTGAACATCGTACTTTTTCTTTTATTAATTATTGCGTTTTCCAGGAAGTTCGTGTTGACTTTTGGGAGGCACGAATTTTTCGTACGTCCCAATATATTAAATAATTGTTACTGATAAACAAATGTGACAATTTGACAGGCATCATTTCAGTCTTTTGATCTGCTTCCTCTTCGCTTTAATATCAATCTATTGATAGATTGCTGGAGAAAGTAAAGACTTCAAGGGAGAAACACAAGTGGAGAACTGTCGTTTTCCATTCAAGAGTTAATTTGGAGGTGAACTACATTCTTAATCAGTGACGTCATCAATAAAAGGATAAGCATTTCGAGAAATATCGAAACTTCGAACAGGAATTGTAAGATAGTTGCGTCCTTCAAAGTATCATTCTTACAGAGAGAATAAAAACAGTCTCAATCCCGAGAGGAGTTTTGCGCTAACCGAAAACGAGGCAAGTTACTAGATTGTAATAGACGGACCGAAAGAAACAAGATTTTTAACTTTGTTTTTTTTTTATTCAAGACATGATCCGTGACGTAATATATTAAAATTTAAAAACTATTGGTAAAAATCTGTGAAGAATGTATTTTTGAAAGCATCACTTCATATTGAAGTGTAAAAAAAACATTACAAAATATTCTTTTGCCATTAGAATCTATTTTAATTAGATAGAATACGTAAATTGAAACTGCACTATTTTATATCGAACATTTTGATAAAATAAGAAATATAAGTAATATGCAATCATTTGGTAAGAAAAACTTTTTTGTATATACATACGTATTTATTCTATTTTTTATGTTAATAGTAGTTGAACATTTTAATATAATAGATGTTACAGTAATTAAGATTGCAAAAGATATAGTCTAATAAAAAAAACTTGCACAAGATTTAATCTTTATGAAAACTTATTTTAGCTTTTTACCGACCACAAGGGAAAAGTTAGAAATCACAAATTTACCGCCAACCACTTCAACAGAAGTATATTTAAATTGTATTAATCGTCTGTGCAATATACCTGGTAATTGTGGAGAAAAAATCAAAAAGAAAGCAAGGGGAATCAAATGCATCTAACACAGTGCCATGATTGAGAAATACTAAGGCCATCAAATATATCTATCCGAAGAAGAGTAAACCATGAAATGTAAAAGAAGGAAAGACTAGCATACCTGGTGCGAAAATTTTACAATGTTACCAAAAAAATTTTGCAAGTTTTGGAACAAAGACAGCTAAAACTCAGACCTAAAAGGTTACCATATACTGCTCAGATTATATTGAAACCGAAAGATTGATGATTTGATGAAAATTAATTTTTCATTTTTGATCTTCTAATAAAAATTTTTAATTGTTGAATAGTGCACATTTTATTGCTGAATATATTCTAATTAGCGATGATGTTCAAAATTCATTTACTGTCAATATTCATTCAATTTTTACAATTATAAATATTTACTACTGTACTCCGGTCACTGATAATTAACTGTGATAATACAGGAGAAATAGTCTGCGGTCACGTATGAACACCATGACGAGCAACGTGTAAACTACTTTAGGCTGGTTTGATAAAAACTATAGCAAGTTAAACGTTTTTTATATGACATTTAATAATATGTTTCAAGAAGTTATTATAATGAAAATGAATTTTTATGCTAAATATATAATATAAGCGATGAAAATAAAATAAACAAAATCGTAACGCGACTTAACATTTTGCCGGCCGCGCATTTATCGAAGCGCCGTTACGCTGTCGCCGGCGAGATTCACGCAGGTTCTATTGTTCGCCAACGGTGATATTTACTCAATTTTTCGCAACATAAGTACTTGGAATATAATTATTATTAAAGAAGGCACTAAAATAACTGTTACACTATTATTATTCCATAGTTTTATATTTTTTAATTAGTACTAAAACATTTTATTTAAAAAATTTAACCCCTAAGATTCATAGTTCATTTTAGTATGATAATTTTCAAAACATTTTCCAACATGCAGAGGAACGTTGCAGGAAGAACACATATGCAGTGGAACTTCTTTTCCTGGCGGCAGTGCAGACTTTACAAGCCCTTCGCGGGTTTTGAATTCTCCCATTACCACTAATACGTGTTATACTATGTTTCCTCATGTCCGCGGTAAACCTGTCTGGTCGATCATACCTTGGCGATCTTTTATTACTTTGAGCAGCCAATCTTGATTGTTGCTCCTCTTTATTCTCATTAATCCATGTTAGTGCAAGATTTAGTAAAAATTGTTTGAATCTAATAGGATTTTCGGAATTTTTTATGCATATCAGGTACGCGTTGAGTAATGCACAGTTTGTGACTGTTATATTTGTTACTGATTCGTTTATAAGATAGCGATGGTTATTACTACCGTATATGGAAGTTATTAACTTGATCATTCATAAGAATTGTATATGTTAAAACTATACTTATTTTTTTATACTTCCTTTTAATACTTATTTTTAGATACTTTTCTTTTTTTCGTATGCGTTATGTTTTGTTAGTACATTTTTTTTATTACATATAAAATATATTTAGAATATATTAATATGTAGTATTATGTGTATTTTACATATTTTCAAAAAATATTTGAATGGAAATATATATATACTACGATAATTTTTTATATTATACTAAATTACTATATTAACACATACTATATACATTTAATTATTTTTATATACCTATACATATATCTTAAAAAATCTGCATATATTCATGTTCTTTACTTTATATTAGATTCTCTCTTTTATGTATTCGTGATGTGTGTGTGTGTGTATATATATATATATATATATGTAAAGAAAGTATACTTTCTTCAGGCAGATTTGCCGCGGGTCTCATAGCCCGCCCTTCCATTGTCCTTTATTATTTACAATTTCTTTTGTGACCTACAAATCGAGTCGTTAAGATTTGGAAGAGAAACGGGCAGTATGAAATATAACATAGAAGAGAAAAGCAACACGAGAGCTAGAAGAAGATTCATAATATAATAGAAATAAAATTTAACATTGTGAATAATAAACGTAATTGTCGTTTCTTTATTCACAGGTAAGACTAATCAAAAACTAAGCATTAATTAACAAATAAAGATTTATCACTTTGTTCACAGAGAAACATATTTTCGTTTATCACCACCCACAATCAATCCGAAATATTATATATATATATTTATATATTCCTATATATTTTTCATTTTAACTAATAAATATTTATTAAATTTATAAAAGTATAATATTAGAAAGGACGAAAAATCGACAAATTTAAAATGAAACTATTAAACGAAATGTATAACGAATTACTGAACGAAAAAAACAGTTATAAATTTCAGAACATTAATAATATGATGGGAATATATCATTGAAAATATAATTTATGAAGATTTACTATTGCAATTATTCTGTTTTGGAAATTTTTCATAGTTTCTATTGTCAATGCACGATTGAGACTACATATATAATGTATATATACGTGCATATATAGGCATATATGTGATGGGGAATACATTATAATGCGACCAAATAAAAATGAGAATTAATTGTAACAAGCAACACGTTTCGCACATGAAAACCTCTTTATAAATGTAAACTGATCGTCTGTGGTAAATGCTTCTGTTTCACGAGCAGATGTTGCATTTGAAAATATATTAAAGGTCGGAATGTTTTGTTAGTTCATGTCCTTGAATCAGTATAAATCTGCTCTTGTAACTGGTTTTACTGGACGGGCAATAGACTGTCGCGATATTGTGAACTTGAGATGGAGAGAGAGAGAGAGAGAGAGAGAGAGAGAGAGAGAGAGAGAGAGAGAGAGAGAGAGAGAGAGAGAGGGGGAGAGAGAGAGAGAGAGAGAGTGAGTGAGAGCGAGAGGATGAGCGGGAGGGGGGAAGAGAGAGAAAGAGAGAGATGAGCGATATGGACAAATCTCATGTTAGCATTATCCGTTTAGAAAATACACCAATGAGAGACTATGAAAAATTCAAATTGAAACACTGAACTTGTTCGTTAATTGTTATTTAAGATTTTCAAAAGAAGATAAATAAAGAAAGTAAAAAAAGTTAAAAAAACACGCACACACGCAGAAATAAAATTCGAGCACGTGAGTAATGCGTGTGAGTCGGAATTATCTTTCGACACGCACACACTTGCTTTTGGCCGGTTCCACATGCTTTCTTCCCTCTCACTCATTCGTTATAACTCTCTCTTTTTCTGTCTCTCTGTCTCTCTCTCTCTCTCTCTCTCTCTCTCTCTCTCTCTCTCTCTCTCTCTCTCTCTCTCTCTCTTACTCGCTATCAATCTCTTCTTCCCGTTCAATTCTTCGCTCTCTATGAAACCTGTACTTCCTATTCTTTCTTACACCCTCCTACAAACCGTAAGCACACCCACTGCTCCACTATTATTTTGCCGTAGTTGATTCTTCGCGTTGTTTATAAATTTATGAACGACTCATCTCGACGTCACGTATTTACTTCTCCCTTCTTAGCACTATCTTCTCATTTATTATTTTACACTTCTATGTATATGATATTTATATTAATATATATTTTATGTATATATGTATGTATGTTTGTATGTATGTATGTATGTATGTATGTATGTATGTATGTATGTATGTATGCATGTATATAACTATCTATCTATCTTTGATTTATCAGTTGCATATATGCGTTATTTATATCGCATATATTTATATTGCATTTATATTGCATATTGCATATATTTATATCGAAAAGCATCGTTCTGTTTGACTGATCGATATTTATTTCACATGTTCATTACAATGTTTATAATATGAACTAATTTATTAAATTATTTATGACTCCTGATATCCATGATATTAGAACCATTACCGACAATTTGCGTAACATGAAAAAGAAACTATTCTTGGTGAAATTATTTCCAATTTTTGTAGATTATCATATTTATCGAAAAAAACTTTATTTAAGTATAATTAAAATGATTTTATATATTTATATACATACATTTTTATTTTTTATATAATATATTCTGCTTTTTTTTACAGAATACCGATGGTTCATAATATATGTAATAACTGAAACTAATTTACTAATCATATCCGGAACATAGATATTATTTATTTTTTTAGTAAAGATCAATATACGAATTCGTTACCGTATCTGCGAAATTTCTTTCCTAGTCCTATTTTGTTATGGATTCCACTGTAGAAGTTAATTTTATATTATTGTTATTATTACTACTATTACAATAATAATAATAATATGTGATATAATAATATAATAATAAGAAGCAGAAAAAGGATATATTTATTCTATATACATCATGAGACATATGATGACGGTAATTTATGATAACAAAAGTAAAAATGTCATTTTACGTGTGGTTTTATGCACGAACACTTAAATCGTGTTCTTAATATTTCGACACATAATCGCCTATCGATAGATATCTCTAATCTTTTGCACTTTGAGCAATTTTTAATACCAACAACTCCGAGTCATTTTTACTATGAGCTATCAGCTATTCCAGGATTATTTCTCGAGATTGATTACAATAAGCATATACCAAAATATCTTGCTACATGTATAAAAATACAGAGTTGTTCATGGATGCTGTCGCTGTGGCGAACAACGGAATGCAAATAATGAAACAATACCTAATGAAAAGTGAAAAACATTTCTTTTGTTTTTGTTCGTTATAGTTTCTTCTTGTCTTACTATCTAATGATCGTTATGCATTTGTTTTCATATTGTTTCTTATTCAGAATAAGTCGAAGCTAATTGGCTTTAATATTATAATATAAAATTGATTAAATAATATTTTTATGTATATAAATAATGTTTATGCACATTTTTATTATTATTATTATTATTATTATTATTATTATTATTATTATTATTATTATTATCATTATTATTATTACATTGTATTATTATTGTTATTATTTTTAGTAGAAAAAAAACATTAATTGTCAATTGTCAATGTCTTTTAGTTCATTTTTAATTGTAGGTTGTAAAGAAGGAAAAAAAAAGGAAAAAGAAAGAACAAAATATTGCAAAATAAAGTAGCTATGCGCAGATAGTGAAAGAACACCGATTCATTTTTCAACCTATCTCTAGAATAACATATTGTAATACAATAGTAACATAAGCAGGTTTAATAGTACTTAGTCTATGAACAATAACTAACTTATTTCTAGTTACATTTTCTAACGCACTGTGAACCATTTTTTTGCTTTCATAATCCAATGCATTAAATTTAAAAAAGATAAAATTCATACAGAGTACACAATCAGATATGTGACTAATTATATTTAGTCTTTTTACATATCATTGCTTCGACTAATATTAAAATCGATGGTTGTTTTATTCCACCAAATAATACTGCGCCTCTCTCATCATTTTAAGTTTTATAACTTCTTGGAAATTTTGTAATGAATTCATGAGCATTAGCTTCTTTTGCCGCTTTTATGATCTGTAACATTAAATGATGTACAATATATAATGAAATACTTTGAAAAAATATTGAAATTTGTATTCATATATTATTTATTTTTTTTTCATATATCATTATTTATCTTCTCGTCCGTCGCATCTTGTTTTCCATGACAAATATGCCCCATTGTACTAGTCGCAAAAAGTACAGGTTTTTAATTTATATGCGCTAATACAATACCTCTAATATAGCTAGAATGGAGAAACCTAATGTCCCATTTATCAATAGATATGCTATACTCGTTGACATCGTATAGAAAGAATATCTAAATTAAAATTCTTCAAAATAACGTGATTCGATCAACTTGGGTAGTTAAATTTCAAATTTTCAAATTCTATATTCCCCGACAGTTCTTTCTTGTCTTTCCTCCGACCATTATTGGCTACAAATAAAAAATATATTGAATATAGTGATACAATATACAGTGATGAATTTACATAAAGGCGGTAGAAAGTATCGGATCTAGTATCACAATACAGAGTCCTCGCATAACTAATTAAATTTATGTTACCTAATAAATTTAATCTCTTTTGATCGATAAATAAATTTTATATCTATCTATAATTTAATTTAATCAGAGTATTTTTTGTTACATCATTTTTATAAACAGTTGAAGGAAGAAAATTGTATTGTGTACGCTTGATTAGTTTTTATCAATATTTTCATACTTACTGACAAAAAAATCAATACATATTAAATATGTGAATATAGATATTCCAAAATGTCTTTCTATGAAAAATATTACTGGTCAATATCTCTTATTAAAACATTATTTTGTTTATTTGCTTCGCATGACATTTGTTTCACACTTATTTTGAATGTTTAATTGCACCTGTTACTAATATTCTTCAACCAACTTTATAAATGTTTGATAGAATTTTTTGTTTCTTGTACTCTTGTTTAATAGATGAACTAACTGTGGCGTTGAAGTCTCTCTTGAATTGAATGACGACATTGCTCCTTCCTTTGGACGAATTATTCAAAAGGAATTCTCTGAAAAAAAGATTTTGATATTTATTATCCTTAATGATGTTCAATATTAGCAATAATATACAAAGATGATTTGTAAAAAAAAGGTAAAAAAATAGTAACATCAAGTATAATTTCTTTTTCTAAAAGCTTATAATGATTTAAAGAATAATTACCTTGCAGTTAATGGAAAAATAACGAATAATTTGTTATATCGAATAATTCGTAATAAAGACATTATAGTAAAATATTATTTTATGATATATTTATATATATATTGAGAATATGGTTATGCAAATGATTTTCTTGATTATTGGTATTAACTTAACATAATTGTTACACATAACGAAAGTATATCATTATAAAAAGCCATAGGATCAAATGTATCTATCAATCTATTTGATATTGAAGATTGATTATAAAATTAAGGTAACTTAACCTTATACGTCTAATAAGAATAGCGCTATTATTTCTTTATCAGTTTTCCATTTCCAGGACAGATCTTTAGATGGCGTTGGAGAATTCAGGCGTAATTACACCAACCCACCATCAAAATAATTTTTTTTTTCTTTTTTAAAGAAATATATAATCCCTATTTTTGTTTCTTTTTTCTCTATTTTCTATAAAAAATATGTTTATATATAATAGTTTTATAATATATAATATTTATAAAATATAGTATTTATCACGGTACACGAATAAAATAACAATAATAAAAAAATAATGAATCGAATTAGTTTTTTTTTTGTATACAGGGTAAAAGGAAGATCGAAGAATGCAGCAAATAAAGCTTCCTAAATTTTAACATCTCCTTTTCTCGCCTATATTACTCGCCTAGTAAATAAGAGTATTTTCATTCAACCATTCCCTCATATTCTATCCACTCAAACTCTTTCATTCTCTCTTTCTTTCTGTCTGTCTTTCTCTTTCTCTTATACGGCAAATAGGTACCATTATCCAAGTACATAGATCATGCAGGGTAGGGGTGGCAATGACGTCAAGCCAACGTAAGCCAATGATTTGCCTCTTAATCGAGTTCTGGTGGTTGGGATGATCAGCGATGAGTATGCCTCGAAGAATTGTGCAGATATTCCAAGTGTGAGAGTTATCATAGCATGCTTCCAAATAATACCGAAAGAATTATTGCTAGGCTTCATGAGTCAGATTCGTTCAGTAATTGAACAGCAGCGATTGTAAGCGTCGAGAACCGTGCTTGGACGACGAAGAAAGAGTCGCGGTACAGATGACAGAGGCAGTGGAAAATAAAGCAATGTTCCGGGATGGAAGCACAAATGAAAGATTTGTACACTATGCAGCAGCAACTTCTGGAGATGATGATATGAAACAGGTAGCCCAAAAAGCACCCTTAAGAAGCATGCCATTAAGGAAAGAGAACGTCAATGTCTTGATGAAAGAAATTAAAGAGATACAAGATTGCCACTCTGAAATGACATTAGATTTAACTGATGATTATTCATTGTATCGTGACTAACGGGAAGCGCTTGATAATGATATTACTCTATTACAGGGTACGTATCATTATTGGCGGATAACCTACTATGCAAGCTGAGAAGAATGTGCTACACCGAGGATGTTTTCCCGGCGCGAATGCCTTTCGAATGTGTTTCGTAAGTGGAGAATGACGGAATCGTTTTCCCAATACCATTACCAAAAAGTCATCTTGGGGAATCAAGTCTCAATAAGAGAGAACTAGTGGTATACATCATCCATAGTCTATATGATAAACAACTTAGAATTTTATTGTTTCGCTCAATGAATATAGACATCACGCATTTTAGTATTAAAAGAAAGTGAAGTCATGTGATATGTATGTGCCAGCGAGGACGATTACAGCGAGAGAACTAAAAGATTTCGCGGAAAAAATAGCTGAAAAGTACATTAAAAGTGTTTCAAAATGAAGATTAAAATCATCAATATCAACATCAGCATCAGCAGCAAAAACAACAATAACGTCAATAGATCAAAGGACCTATCGATGAGTTAGTAGATAGAGAAAGACAGAGAAACAGAGAGACAGAGGTGCAGTGAGATGGTGAGACAAACAGAGGGATGGAGAGAAACAAGCAGTAGAATTAGGAAGAAGGAGGAATTAGGAAGGAATTAGGAAGAGGAGGAAAAGGAATGGAATACTAATCGTCGATCAGCTAAAACTATTGATATCAAGGACGGTATATATTCGCACGTATATTATACGACGATGAGAAATCGTAGTCCGAGATGTCCGATTATCCATTGATGGTCGATGAAAGAAAGGAGGTCAGTGAACGTATCTTGGAATTAGACGATTTAGATCGAGAGAATAGTTCGGTTACTGATTCCGATATCAATAATAACAAGATGATCGATTGCCAAGACACTCACAGACAAAACTATCGCAAGAAGTCCGAATCGTCAAATATAGAAGACTTTGCAAAATACGAGAATGGTTTATACAGCGGAAGATTAATTGATTTTGTTAGAAAAACCTATGGATTTATTGCATAGACCAGTTATATTGAATACGAACGTAAACATGAATATAACTTAACAGACAAGTCCTACGGCAGATGCTGAAGTCATCACAGATAAGATCGTTGATCAGGCAAGGCAAACTGAGAAATCATTTGGTCATCAAAGTTCAAACGAAGAACAGGATGATGAAGTTGACGATGATGTTTCGAAGTTACCAGAGAAATTATCTATGAACAAGAAACTATACAAGCTATCGGATAATTTACATCTTCATGTATTTTTGAGTAGAAAAGTACAAGAATCGAAGAAGAGGAACAACAACAATTTGAATATTATGAAAAGAAAAGAAAAAGGGCAGCAAGAATTGCTAAGTATATAATATAAAATAAATATTATTGTAACTCGGAGTACGATGAATGTATGTGAAGGAATAAGTGAGATAGATAATAAGATATTACAAAGTGCAAAGTCAAATGTAAAACAACATGTCGACAAAGTGTAGCCAATTGATGGCAGGTAATTTGAAGGAAAAATATAAAGACACTAAGACGTTAGACGAACATGAAAAAAAAGCATTCAAGGACGAATGTACGTGCAGAATGGCCGAGTGTGAGTTTGAAGGTTCTAGCGTTACTTAGTTGTGTTTGTCATAAACGAAATAATGAAATAGGTATAGGTAAAATAAATAAATAGGACAAAGAGCAATAGGAATTACCGAATTCGTATGCACGAATGTGACTGAGAATGAGAACAACGGAAGGATTATCTTGAATAGATGAAATCAGGAATAATGATGAAAGCCTAGTGAATCTGCAGAGAGTAACGAGAAGAGTAGCACAGAATACTAAGTATGAATGGTTCTCAAAGGATTCAGCTATCCAGGACTGGTATTTTAAATTTTGGTATTTCTTAAAATACTTACCCTTTCCTGGCAATGTTACTGGTTGGCAACACGGCTCACCTTTAAAATTAACTTTCAAATTGGTAACAACAGTTTACGAATTGTTCCTGTCTTGAAGCCTGTTCTGTCTGGAAATGGTTATTTATTGAAAAATAAATTTGACAATGAGGTGATCCAGAAGGAAGTAAGTCGGAAGATGGTAGTGATGGTTGTCGAAGTATTACACTCAATTAATAATAAAAATTTTTAATGTAACTATTAAAAAAGGTTACATAATTTTCATTTCACTTTCTAAATAACAAAGATTTAGAAAATACGTATAAAATTATTATTATTTAATACCCGATTACAATTTGATAGAAGTAATGCTATTCGCGTGTAATGCACGCAATATTTGTATGTCTCGTAGTATATTAACAAAACTCTAATAGAATTTGGAAAATTCAGACTGTAAGATTCTATTTCTACTGTAAATTTCGATTTCGTAAGCTTCGAGGGTCGAATGTAGATTTTTTACATTCCGATGTAAAGCACCGGAATGCAGCGCTTTACATAATTCGAAGATTATATTTATTAGAAATATTTTTTTTCCATTATGTACGGTTGATACGTGTGATGCCATCCCGCAATGCTATATGAAGCTGTCCCAAGTCCTACCGACCAATATGCTTTCTCTCCGTCATAGGGAAAGTTCTGGGAAGGCTGCTGAAGCTGCGCCTCACCGATACCTCCCTCGCGCCAGGAAAAATATCTGACAAACAGTTTGGATTTGTCCAGGGACGTTGCACAGAAGACGTAATCGTAAAGATGCGTCGAATCGTTTCTGTCTCCTCACGGAGATATGTGATCGCGTTGTTATTCGACATCACGGGAGCCTTCGACAACGTTTGGTGGCCTCTAGTTCTCAAGGCACTCCAAGATCGGGACTGCCCGAGAAATGTCTTTAACGTGATGACAAGCTACTTCGCGGACCGTAGAGTCAAAATCGCCCTGGGAGAGTATGACGTTTCAAAGTAGGCCTCGAGAGGATGCCCACAAGGATCGGTGCTCGATCCCTCCTGCTGGAATCTCATGTTCGATCAGTTTCTCAAAATACTGGAGGAATCCTCGGAAGTCAACACGATCGCGTACGCGGAAAACCTACTCGTTGTCATAGATGGAGACTTCAGGGAAGAACTCGAGGAGAAAGGAAATCTTGTGATAAACAGCATCACCGAATGGTGCACGTCGGCGAAATTGTCAATCTCCGAGTGAAAACGGAAAAACGGAAGTGATCGTCCTTAAAAGCGACTGGGTGAAAAGGAAACCTATCGGTAGACGGGGAGGACAACGTCCGGATAGGAAGCGAAAAACGGCGAAAAAGACCGACCTAGCGAGTAGGCCTCCCATCAAAAAGATAAAGAACAATAACATTAAATTTAGGAATTCCGTTAGATACCTCGGGGTATACTTCGATAAAGGGCTGGGGATCACGACACACTGCCGTTACCTTAATGACAAGGTCGAGCCACTGTTCGCAAAGCTAGGTAGGTTAGCAGCTAGGGATTAGAGACTCCGTCACTGCACCCTCCGGGCGATCTATCGCGGCGTCTTTACTACGTATGCGGCAGCAGGATGGTCCGATCTCTACACGGAAGGGGAGGTTAAGAGGTTAAGCGCGACCCAACGATCGGCCCTCATCTCAGTCACATTCGCGTATCGTACAAGCGCCACGGAATCCCTCTGCGTCGTAGCAGGGGAGCCTCCGATTGATCTTCAGTTATTGAAACGTAGAAGATTATACGATATTAGGAAAAATAGGAGCACTGAGGCAGCGACGCGGGAACTGGAAGGCACAAAGATTAAACGCGCGATAATAATACAGGTCGATGAGGAAATCCTTAGGAATTGGCAGACTAGATGAGAGAATTCTTCCAAGGGAAGGACAACATACGCGTTCTTCCCGGACATCAAGAACAGGATGGGTGCCCGTTTCGTCTCTCCTAACCACTTCATTTCGCAGTTTCTTACAGAACACGGAGCTTTCAAGGCCAAGCTGACGTCGCTGAATATCATCACGGAAGGAGCATGCGAGTGTGGTGAAGAGGACATGGTTTTGCATCACTTCGTCGACTGTCCGGTTTTCGAAGTCCAGAGAGTGGCTCTGGAAGAAATTCTCCGTGAAAGGAGTTGGCCGGAAGCAGCGAAACATCTTGTCTCCACGGCCGAGGCCTTCTCCCTCTTCGCGGAGTTTTGCAAAGAAACCCTCATCATTAAAGGTTATTAGTTCATGAATCCTGTTCAGATGGAATTGTCAGAGTTCTGGGGATGGGATCTTCTCAGGTTAACCCATCCTCGAACAGGATAGGATCGAAGATGCTCGTACTATTTTTTTTCACTATCTTTTTATTTTATCATTTTTTTTTCCCCACCACCAAACGCTCTCCCCTAAATCTGCTATCCAACTTTTCCCATCCCATCCTACGGAACGAGTGCCAAGGATCGTGACACTGTAAGTAGGCCTCCCCATGGTTCCCTGTGGGCACGGCCGGCATCAGCGTGGTGACTTGTTGCTGCGAGGATGTTGGTCATGGCTAAACCGCTCATCCTGCCCCGTCGGCAGGAATTTTGGATTTTTCCGAGTCCGGTCTCTTCGCTGTGGTGGCTGCTGTCTGTAGGTAGCTCCGTAGCATATGCCCTAATGGGCGAGGTAACATAGGAGCAGGCACCTTTCGGGTGTTCACCTTTACAATATACTATATGAAGCTGCCCAACTCCACACGAAATTGATACACGTGCATTTCTCCGTATTCAGCTATCTGCAACAGTTGTTTAAATATTTAGAGCATGCATAGAAGGGTCGCTATCTCCTGTATCCAGTATGTTGGTAATATTCATAGACGCTGCCCTGGAGTCATAACCCAGCAGAGCAAAGCAGCTTTTGATCGTACATATGAAAATCATTAATACATCTATGAATTGCATTATTCTTCTCGAACAAATTATTTTCTTTATATTCTAATCTTCGATACTTTTAGCTTATTGATATTGACTATTTTTACTCGTTCACTGGGTTGCAGCCTAATATTATTACGGTATAGCAATTCTAAAACCTTATGAGAGTCAGTATATTGATTTACAAATTTAGTCGCTGGTTCCTTTAGCAAAAAGACTTCATTTTCTTACTTTAATGTTTTTGGATTTACTTTTCTGTCATAATATTTTTTCGATATTTTTTTTGCCCTTAAAACATTTTGTCGTGTTATCTCTTGAGTTCGATTTATCCTATTAATTAGCTTAGTTTATTAGCTAGGAATTAAGATTAAACTTACTTGGAATATTTTCCATGTCATCGTTTAATGGCGGATTAGATGCCGGCATCCGAGTCACCATACCGAATACGAATTCATAGGATGTAAATCGTGTTCCCTTATGAACACTCGTGTCGTACAAGAGCATCGCAGTGTCTAGCCATTCGTCCCAATCCTTTTCCCTGGTAGTAAATTGTTTCAGATATTCTACTAATACTTGATGCAACAACTTGATAGACCTATTAGATTAAGGAAAGAACGGCATTTCCTATACTGTCTGATTTTGTATTTGCGTGCTATCGCTTTTATCAAAGAATTCCAGTAGTTAGCGGTCTGATCCGATAAGATGGAGCGTGGTGTTTCGAATTTGCTATCATAAAATTTGCTATGTCAATAAAAGTAGTGATTATGATAGGTAATGCTATATTTATTTCCTTTCTAAGTCTGAGAGAGAGGACGCATTACATCTAACCCAACTTTATCAAATGTTGACCCTAACGAATTCCTTCAATTGGCAGTCTAAGCGATTTTGCATGAAAACTTGAATCTGATGTTTTATACATCCCCACAAGTATTTCTGTCTCATTCTATTGTAGTTCTTGTTATCCCCTTGTGACCTGCTAAAGTTTACGAGTGATTTTCACGTATTAAATCCTTATGGGAGTCTTTACCAAATTCTTATATATAATATTTCTCCTAGACTCTGTTGTATGTATGCCCATGGCACATCATTAATTTCGCTAGTTTCTGACATGCTAATTGTTCGTAGATCAAGCTCTCCCGGTACTGGAAAAAGTGATTCTAAGGCAGATTCAAAAATTCGATATCTAAATTAGTACTGTCTTTTTCTTTCATTACCAAAGATATCAGATTTTTAGTTCCAAATTTGGTCACACGTATTCGTCCTAAGATTCGTTTCGAGAAATTTTGAACGTGTCGTCTACCTGGTTTTGCAAAATATACGGATGCGAGGCTGGATCGAATATGTCATCTGAGTTGGTATTCGAATTATACTTTTCTCTCTATTTCTCTCTCTCCTTCTCTTTTCCACTTTCCTCCTCCTACTCCACATACATACATTTTCACCACCTCTTCCTCCTTCACCTACATCTGCACCACCATCTCCTTCTCCACCTTCTCTCGTAGTTTCTGTTACTTAGATGTATTTACCTTTGTGAAAAGTGGGTACTAGCTAGCTATGTGATAATATGAGTAAAAGAGTAAGAGAGAGAGGGGGGAAGGGAGAGAGGGAAAGAGGGAGAAGGAGAGAGAGAGAGGGAGAATGCTTTTTCAGATGAAAATCTGTTGATTAATATGTTAGACGATAAACTTGGATATCAAAGGTATAGCTACTTGCATTGAATTTAAGGTTCCGTAGGAAGATCCTGCCTCAAACCTCAGTAATAGAAATTCTAATAATCCAGATTCTGGGACCTCATATGGGTCTGATTCATTTTTTATGCAAAATCTCCAGCATGGGTTTATTGGTTTGAAGTATTAGTTTAAGGTGCCCTCTGATTAGGATAATATTATTTCAGAAGTTTAAAGTGAAAGATTCTTCCTTCTGAAGGCTGTCCTGATAATCTCCCGGCAACCTAGGACAATTTCTGAAGCAATGGATGTTATTGTGTCTGCAAGGAGATAAAAGTAACTGTTTATTAGGCTTCAACACGACAGGTTTCTCTATCAATAAGGACTCAAAGATACGGAACCAAAGTTGAGTCTTCCAGAATGGGATAACTGTGATACCCTCTGACTTTTCTGCAATAATCTTCTGCAAAACTCGCAGTATTAAAGTAAAAGAAGGGAACGCATAAAAAAATGTATTATTCCAACTTAATGCAAAAGTATCCACATAGGAGCCTTTCGGATCTTTAAATCAAGAATAAAATATTCTACATTTAATATTGACTCTAATAGCAAATGAATCAATATCTAGAGTTACGAAAGCTTGAACAATGTTTGTGGAGGCATAATCCGCAAGTTCCCATTTAGTATCGATATTGTCTAACCTTGATTCCTTATCTATTTCGACGTTTTTCTTAGATGAAATATATGATGCAAAAATTCATATATTTCTTGTTTCACCATTAGCATATTTTTCTGATTAGATTATTTAAGTGTGGTTATTGAATCCCAACCATACGATTCATGTAGGATATTGCACTAGTACTATACATTCTCAGGAGTACGTCGCAGTGGAAAAAATCATTGGCAAAAATCATTAAGGCCAAAAAAACTGCAACTAGTTCTAGATAGTTGATATGAAAAGTACTTTCCTCTGCTGAACAAAACCTTTGCCTTCGCACGAGCATTCCCCTTTGTTAATGAAGCGTTTGAATAAATCGTTTTTTTTATATAATCATCTATGTCTCATAATAGTCATCAGTAACTAACAGAGCTAAATATTTCTCTCTTTCAAACCGCTTTATATAAAGCCATCTATATTTGATCATTGGGCAGGCTGCTACTAAATTTCCAATAAACTTAGCTAATTCTTTAACTTTACATTTTCTTCTTCTGTTTAATTCTTTAATTAATTAAAAAATCTTAACGTGCTTTACTTCAAATAACTCTAGTGTCAATCTTTCTGAGTTTACGCAGAATCCTAAGAATTTACATTTCCTACTTAGAATTAATATACTCTTTCTCTGATTTATAATAAAACCAAGAGACTGTAGCAATTTAATTGTCGCTGATATATTATTCTTCACATGATGTAAAACTGGAACCGATGCATAAGATGTCATCAAGATATACTGGAAGAAAGTTAAAGCAAGTTTTAAAATCTTTGTGAAAATATGCGGCGCTATAGCCAAACCGAATGGTAAACAACAAAACTCATAAAGCTGCGATTGAAACCTCAAAAATTTCAAAAATTTCCACTATGGATAGCAATTAAAAAATACGTGTCTTCTAGATCCGAACTAGCCATGTAATCTCCGTAAGCGATTAATCTGGATATTAGTTTAATATTCTCAAACTTAAAGTGCACCGTATTAATAAAACAATTTGAATTTTTAAAAATTTAGTATAAATCTCTTTATACCATTTGATTTGTCTAAATTAAAAAACAAAAGGAAATAAATTGGCTTTCTTTGTTATGACAGGGTTGAATAACCCCAAATTTGAACAATATATCTACAGCTTCCTTGCAATCCCTTAACTGCTGAGCCGAATTTATAAAATTTACTGGCTCTTTTAACTGAAAAACAGGCTGCTTAAAATTAATTTTATAACCTTGTATATAATTTAAAATAAAATTATTATCGGTGATCTTTCTTCATTCATCAATAAATAATCGATGTCTTCCTGCTTTCAATGATACTTTTTGTGTTAATGTCGGTGATCCGTTCTCGGATGAGTCGACTTCGATTGGCGTTGAGGAGAATAGTAAGATCTTTTTGGTACCTGGTCCCGGTTAACTTTCTTTTGGGAGTCAATTTGGAGATTCCCACCATCGATGACTACTGTATCTTGGAAGGTGTGGCCAGTAACGGCATAGTAGTGTTACATAGTAGTTTCGATCTCTGGGTTAAGACTACTATTGCGTTTCTAATTGCCAATTGCTTAAGCGTGAATATTTTAGTAACAACTCACTCTTAACCATTTTCTTTGAGCCCTCACTAATCCAGCTGAATCAACGTGTGGCTAGTTGGGGATATAAAGTCCACACCAGAGAGTTATATGCCTTAGGATCCTCGCTCAAAGTCTTAATAACTTTCACTTCCAAATTCTTCCTTCTCTTCCTTTCCTCTCTTCCTCTTACTCTTTGCCGTCCTTCTCGTTAATTGATACTTTATCTAATTCAAATACTTCACTTTTTCTTTTCTTTCTTTTTCTTCTTTTTTTTTTTTCTTACATACTCGACATTATGCTACTATTGAGGACAAGAAATGTTGATTGAATAGGCCGTGGCGTCGCCTCTATAGGGCTCTCTTTCTTTTTATAGATTTTGAATTTGTAGTGACATCGCAGTCAAACAGCGATACTACGTTTTTATAATTCCGAAAATGAGACGTCTTATAATTGTACCTATGATCGTATATAATTTACTCTCTATCGCTTCTTATCTTTATAATGTTTAGTAAATTGTCTCAAGTTCTCTAAATCTTCGATAAATGGTCATTAACTTAATTTATTCCGTAAATAACTTGTTAATTTTATGATATTTAATAATTTAAAAAGAAAAAGAAAAAGAAAAAGAGAAAAAAGAAATACGAAGAAGATTTATACTTTGAGATCTTCGATAATGATCGCCAATATGATTTATTATCAATAATCTTATTAATTTTTATATATTTTCTTTTTTTTTTCAATCGTTTGAGCAAAAAAATTAATCAGCTAAGTGCGATTGCTAATAAATTTCTGTTCAGATATTCGGGCGTCGGAAATTATATTAAAAAAAAATATAAATGAAAAATATAAAGAAAAAACCTACAAATAAACAAGCAAACAAAAGAAAAAAGAAATAGAGAGAAAAAGAGAGAAATCATATCATAATCTCATCGCGAGGGAGAATAAATTTTAGGTGGACGGAAATTTTTTCCTCCAAACATGAATCTAGTCCAAGAACAATTTTTTGTTTTCTATCGAGTCAGGAAAACTCGTTGCTTTAGAGAAGCGACTTGGTAATCTTCCAGTGGTAATTTTTTATTTTCTCATAACGGAAGATCAGTTTCGCATTTACTATTGAACTTTTTATTTCTTTTTTTTTCATTTTTTCTTTTTACATTTTCCTTCTTTTTTTTTTTTTTTGAACGTTGTCATCATTGCACCGATATAATATGAAAAATCTTTTTGGTTTAAATGCAAGAAGAAACTCCGGCAAATATTAGAAAAAATTATGGGGGATATCTATCCTCTATTTTTTCTTTCTTTTCTATCTCTTTCTCTTTTTCTCTCTATCTCGTTTTTTATAAGAGAAAGCAAAGAGAGTAAAAATAAAGATTAAAAGTTTGCTCTTTTTGTCGACCCTAACGAATATAACGTATCCTATTCTCTCGTGTTTCTTTAGTCATTGTTTTGCTTCGGTAATTGTCGAAAAGCCGCTTCCTTGTGAGCACAATGCATACTACGAAAGAGAGAGAGAGTGAGAGAGAATGAGAGAGAGGGAGACAGAGAGAGAGGGAGACATTGAGAGAGAGAGAGAGAGAGAGAGAGAGAGAGAGAGAGAGAGGACTCGAGGAGAACATAGAGAAAGAAATGAAAGAGGTTCTGGCCTGGCGGAAATGTGGACGGGAAAAGGAATGTGGCCAATCAATTTGAGAAGAGACGCGAGAGAATACCTTCCTTCGCGACTGGAATACCGAATGAACTCTTTCTCTTTCTCTCTTTTTTTCGTACTTTCATTTTTGTCCCTATTTTTGCACGACCATAAACATTGCCCTTCTGCACATCTCTGCAACCGAAAATACGAATGAACGGAAGAAATACGACAGAAAGAAGAAGAGTGAGGTCTACTGTCGTATGTGATTTTCAGATCCAGGATTCTCGAGAATAACACTCATAAAAGATAATCCAATGTCTATCTACAATCCTTTACTTTTATTATCTGCAAACACTTCAGACGATTATTATTCTTTTTTTTATTTTTATTAATATTATTATTATTATTATTATTATTATTATTATTATTATTATTATTATTATTATTATTATTATTATCAGTATCCTTTCTACTATAATCTATAACTCCGATCCTGAGACGTAAAGGAACATTTCATTTTTGGAAGGTATATATTTGTGGGTAGAAAAGAAAATGAAAAGAAAGAAAAAAATATTTATCCCACGATTTCTATTAAATTAGGATCTATACGAATTTTTCTCATTTTGTATATTAGTAATAATTTCGATTATCGACATCCAAAGGATACCAAAAAAAAAAAAAAAAAAAAAAAAAAAAACGAATTAAAACTTCGATCAATTTTTACAAAATTTATAAGAAAGTCCACCTGGGCTGACCTTTTTTTATTATTTATCCCATTCGGATTGAGGCTCACTTAGAAAAATACTCATTAGTACTACGGGCTACAACAAACGGCAGAAATAATGTTATCAGATGCCTTCGAATTTTGGATCTCGGAGTGTCGTTGGATTTCGGACCTTTTCACACAAAATTGTTCACACTTTGGATTTCGGAGCTAAAATTGTCGAGTTTCGAATTAATCGATGCTCGTTTATTCGAATTTCGGAATCAGAATTATCGGATTTCAGATCTTTCCTCGCACAATTGTTTGAATTTTGAATTTCGGCTTTATTTGATTTTTGATATTTATATATTATGTAAGATTGCAAAGTATATGTAAGTATTATTATGTTATAGTCACAAAGTATTATTTAATGCTTTAAAGTATGCTTATTCTTGTTTGTTTTTGATCAACCCATCTCCCATATATATGTATGAATCTGGGAATATATTCTTCTTTAGCTCCTTGGTTTCCTACGTGACATCGATACAATGTGCTCTAACTGTGATCTAACGGGAACATGAATTAGCTCTTTATAGACAAATATTTCCTGATGTTTAAATTCTACACATTCTTTGGTGTAATCCACGCTCGTACTATTCTCTTGTAAATATTCTACTAAATCAATTAAATGGAAGCGGACTGATTTCTCAAAACGATTCATCATAATAAAGTCCTGAGTAAATGTGACTGCTTGTAATTCCGTTGATTTTAATAGTCTCGCTCTCATCTACCATTTCCCCTGTTTTAATAACATCTGATTTCATTAAATTAAGTGTCGATCATGAGGATAACTGCCTTGCAGAATTTCATTGCATCTGGATATACAGAAAATGCTTTTGCCATTGAATAGTACTCAACTGTATTCATTGCTTTCTTCAGTTGAAGAGGACGAACGATTTTGAGAATGGCTTTGCCTACATTGCTGCGGAATGCTCATGGCATTTTCCAAAACGTCCGCTCTAAACGTCATTATTGTATTTGAATTTTCGGTAATCTCTCTTTATATGTCCGATTTTCTTGCAGTAATTGTAGATTATAGGTTCCCTCGTACTAGAAGATCTCGTCCTACCTGAATTTGCGCGATCATTTTGTTCTCGGAGAGCACTATTTCGGTTGTTAGCTCGAGGAAATCCACTATCACGAAGAGGCGGTTTAGCAGCAACGTAGGAGATTGGTTGTTATCTCTTCTAGCATTGAACAGCTATATGTCCAATCTATCTGCATATATTACAAGTTGGTCTGTTCACAGCAATCACTTCCACGGCATTTTTCCGTATGGGCAATTTTACCTTCTCTATGTCTTTTTCTGCGATCTGACTGACACGAAGAAGTGTTGTTAATGTGGATGCTAGGTCAAAATAATTTTCCAATTTTAGCAAAATTTTCAATTCAAGGTGATAAACTATTTTCGAAACATTCAAAAACTTCATTTGATTTGACTCGCTAACGCTCTCTTGTCGAAATTTTATTTAATAGTTTCTCCCTCGATAATTGTTTGCTTCATGTCTCTACTCCGTCATGTATACTCGTTAGCTTTTTGATATATACTAGGGAGTTCACCCTAATAATAACTGACCAATTTCGATGGTTGAAACGTGGACTTTAGTAGATCTATTAACTGGTCTATTGTTGTCAAATTTTCTTCTTCTACCAGCAAATAAGCATGTCCACCTAGTTTAACGCGAATCATTCTCATTAATGCATACTCGAATTCAGTCGAAGGATAGCTAGGAAAGATATCCAATGTATGTTTACAAGCTCGCGTGAATTACAGAACAGTAATATTATGTACGTTAAAACGCGGTACTATTCTTTCTTTTCCCAATGTTTCTAAATCGAGATTTTACCTTAGGTTGCTCCTGGAGGAGTACCGACATTCTTCGCGATTGACACGATCTAAGTTTTGAATGCGACTACTTTCGCGTGTTTCATCTAACGTCACAAATTTTTCACGTAGATATAATTCTTTTTTGCGACGGAGTAATGCCATTTAGAGATCTTCCAATTCGGTACGTCGATCCTGTAGATTTTTTTCCATTCTTTTTAGTTGTTCTTTCATTATTTCCAACATATAAATCTGTACTTTAACTTCGTGTTTCGTTAATTTTCTTTCGTATGCCCTGACTTCTTTTTCTGAGAGCTGCATCGCGTCACGAACAACAAAAAATTAAAATTTTATATTATAAGGTTGGTGCGAATGAAATATCGAATTCTTAAGTGAATATATTAAACTGCATATCTTTTTCCAAAAGCTGTTTATTTAATCAAAATATGCTCCATTTACTTCAATACACTTTTCCCAACGAGATTTTAATGCATAGATGCCTGTCTTGAAGAAATTCTGATCTTTAGAATCAATGAACTTTGATATGGCATTCTTCAGACTGTCTTCATTTTCGTACTGTTTAGCCCGTAAAAAGTTCTAAATGTTTAAATAAACGAAAGTCGGTTGGCGAAAGATCCGGTGAATAAGGTGGGTGCTGCAAAATTTCATATTTTAATTCATTTAATTTCGCAATTGTTTTGTACGATGTATGCGGCCGAGCGTTGTCGTGGAGAAGTATTGGGCCATGCTGATTAACAAGTGATGGGCATATAATTTTCAATTTTTCATGCATTTCTTCAATGTACTGGCAATACTTTTGGGCTGTAATTGTCATTCTAGTTCGAAGGAATGAGTAGTGTATTACTCCAGTTACATTCCACCAAACTGTGATTAAAATTTTTCATGGATGAAGTGATGGCCGTGGAGTATGAGCACAAGCCTCATCCCTATCAAGCCACCGAGCACACATTTTTCTATTGTCGTAAAGAACTCATTTTTCATCACAAGTAATGATCCGATCGAAAAATGGATCTCGATTAAATCGGGTTAGCAATGATGTGCATACGTTCAAGCGATCCAGCTTATTTCGCTCGGTTAGTTCGTGTGGTATCCATTTATCCATTTTTTTCCATGCCAATTTCAGAAAGATGTCACAATATTGTTGTATAGTCAACTTCCATTCTGGCAGCAAGTTCCCTTGAAGAAACAGTCGGATTCGTTTCCACCAATGCTTTCTGAGTATCATTTTTCACAGACGTTTCGGATCTTCCACGCGGTTCATTTTGCAGGGAAAAATCACCAGTCCGAAATTTTTCAAACCAACGCTGCACTTTTCGATCGTTCACAGTATTCTACCCAAACGCCTGGTTTATATTGCGTGCAGCTTTTGCATCATTATTACCAAGTTTATACTCATATAAGAAAATTACACGAATATCGGTTGAATTCATATCGGTGCAAAATTCAAAGCAAATAACAAAAGGGAACACTTTTGAGAAAATCTTTTTTGCTAAAATGTGACTCTGGCAGTGGACAGTACAACTATAAACCAGGTTATGTCAAAAACAAAAGCATAACAAAAACAGGGAGACACATTTAAAGTTCACATTTAAAGAAAATCATACGCACCAACCTAATATTTCGCCCGTTTACAATGATCTAGCCACTTGGCTCAGTTTGGTCAATGGAGACATAACGCGAGAATGAGGCTCTTTTATTTCTTTCGGTATGAATGGTTCTTAAAGAATTCAACTACTTAGGATTAGTGTACGAAATTTCAGTATTTCTTAAAATACTTATCTTTTCCTAACATTGTTACTGGTTGGTAACATGGCTCATCTCCAAAATTAGCTTTCAGGTGGACGACAGTTCTCGGATTGTTTTATCCTTTTCTCCCTGGGAATGGTTGATTATTAAAATTAATTTGACAATGAAGTGATCCAGAAAAAAATAGATTGGGCGCCAATGACATACACATGACATATACAAAAATGATATGTGTCATTGAATTTCATAACGCATCTACGAGATGTAAACTCCATCCATATATACTATGGAGTTTATAACCATGAATGAGTATGTCGGGGATGTATTTCATTGGTCAGAAAATCATAAATATGGCGAGTACTCTGGTGCTTGCTAATCCAAAGGTTATGAAGCCTCCCCGGAGCCATTGCCTCATACTTGATGCAATTTTGTCCAATGATTTCTTCATCCATCAAATTAAAGAGGAAAAATTTCCCAGGCGATAATTGTCTTCTGCTAACTCCTCTGTCGAGAGTAGCAGGTTTCTTCATTAATGTGCAATCCTAATTTATCTAAATCGTCATTGGAATTTATCCCGTTGGTTCCGTGATGTTCCAAATTGATATGTCTCCATTTAGGCTTTGTCAACGGTTAAAGTATCGATTCCATTAATTTCAGTGCTATTCTGTACTAAGTCCCGTGTAGATTGTACATATTCGATAAAAGTTTGTTGCAGTCTCTAGTCTCTAAGCTTTTTTAAGATGATACGAGTCTTTGGTGCTAAATAGTATAATCTATTTTGATATGTAACTGGTAGTTCTTTATAGCATTCGTTCGATTCATCTTATCAGATAGATGATTTCGGCTGCTATTATGGACATATATTCAGTATATCGGTGGTAATTTCATTAGTGCATAGGCCATTTCGTCAGGTGCTATGGTGGCTAGTAAGAGAACGTTTTTTAATACTTGTAACTCCAAAATTGATTTTTAAAATTTGGTCATATTTTCAAATTTGAAAAGAACGCTCCCTCTTAAAAATCTTAGCG